AGGTTTCCTTAGAAACGCTCGAAGAGCAAAGAATAGTGGAATTATCTTTAATTCTCTTGACGATATCTCTTTCTCCAACCAAGTTTTAACGCTGATTTTTCTATTATTAGTTTTTAAAGCTAGTTTTTCAGATTCGACAACCACTTAATGATTAATATAAGCTGTACACTAGTTCTTAGTCTATCAAATTAACGGCTTAGTAGTGAAACTGCTCTCGAGTTATCAATGACTGATATAATTCCATTTTACCTACGGAAATAGCTTATTCACTGTCATGGAAAATTCCCAATTTCAGTAAATGTCCTGAAATACGATTTTGGAAAATTAGTATTATTAATTTGTAATTATATTTTATTACATAATAGACGTTGATATACGTTTTTTTATTTGACAACACATTTTACTTATATTGTATTTTTGTGTATGTTGTATGTTTGAGTCCTCCTGTCGCCGATAACCGTGACGGGCCCGTTCGATAGATTGATCTCGTTCGTAATATGTTTTATACTTGTTCGTGTTTAAATGTATGTGTTTTTTACGTCCTGTATTGTTTTTATAAACTTTTTAACGACGTCAACTTGACCGACATGTGAGCAAGAAGTTATCCTGCTGACTTACGTGATCATGGTGCAACTCAGCATCGAAACCTGGTTGTAGAGTTTCAACGGACATTTGAGCTACTGACAAAGGTAACTTAAAACAATTTATTATGTATTTTTTTATGCATAAAATTTATTGATGGTTCTGTAACGTGTAATTTTCAAGTACGTATTATTGTGAGTACGTTATTGCATTAAATATATGCAGTTAAATGAACTATGGACAGTAATTCAAACTGATGGTGATGGAAACTTAAAACTGTAGATTTACATTAATGTTGTAGGGGATATAATCGCCTGGATTTAGTGTAAATGTGGTTTTAAGATCAATCCGAGTACAGTCTCTGCTGAAAATGTACACTCAGCTACAAAAGCTCGTTAAGAGATTAAATTATGCAATGTGCAAATCATCTTTTATTAAACATAAGTTTAGTCATAGTACAGTATTTTACAACAGCCGAATTGTAAATGTGTTCCATTGATTACTGCTATAGAAATCCAACCGGGCTTACCCCTAGTTGGTTACGTTTTTTTAATAACTAGACCAAATTCTATACCGTAGATTGGGGTGAAAAAGGATATTTTCTAAGTTTCTTAGCAATAGCTAGTTGAAAAAAATCCCTAAAACTTATAAAGTATTGGATAAGTTTAATATATAAGTATATCAGTATAAAAAGTATTTTATCTATACTATGCATTAATTTCACGTAGCCTACTCAGATTTTCGTCACAGTCTTAGAAAATATGTATTTGTCATTTCTATTCCAATTGTTGTCCCCATTCACACACGGTGGTAACTAACCATTATCTGGGTCATACACGTCATAAAAAATTAAAATCGTAAATAGAATCTCTGTTTTGCATCGTACCTAGGAGGTGCCCTTGTTCCGCAAACAAATTGTGATTGTGTCTAAGCTTTATGGTTTAATTCTTTATTATTTTGCAGAAATATATTTTCGTGCTGTGATACTTGTGAGTAACGTGAGCACAAACACAATGTGAACATCAGAAACTGAAACTAAGCAAAAAGAATTCAGGGCGAACCTAAACATCATTACATTTTATTCATGTTACAAATACCCGAAATGGGCCCCCCCAAATATATGTTCAGTGACGTGTGCCGGCCGGCCAATTATGTTAAATGTCTACCGTGTTCGTGTTATGTTTGTTTTATGTGTTCGATGTATTAAGATTTGACGACATTCAACGAATGTAATATTTTAACGTTCCGTTTTGATAATGACTACGCAGTAGTCGAAACTATAGTCAACGAATACCGACTAAGGAATTGTGGACGTCAAGGTACGTAACCTGTTATAATCATTACATTCTAAAGTTGCAGAAATTTAAAATGCGAATGACTCGTCGTAGATGATATCACATAAACAATAGCTCCAAGATTGTCTGTTAAGTTTGGACCGAGTTTGGGTGAAGTTTGGTCGGCTTGCTTGGTAATAAAAGGGTAACTTAATCTGAATTGTGACATTTAATTAATATGTACTTTCCTAATCAATAGTCAGCACTACGTCAGTAATTAAGAGTTTGAGGTTGAGACTTAAGAAATAAATCCTCTTGTAAATTAATTGGCGGATTATCTATTCTCTACAACCCACATGAAGTGACCTACTTGAATTTATAAACTGAATCTTTGTAACTGAACCGATGATTCTTAAACCGTTTTAGCTGTTTTAATTCCTATATTTTATCCTACTACGGGCTACTTCAGGGACATTTCAGATATTGTTCAGAGTTTTAAATTTTGAATCGCGTAGTACATTCACGTTTAATATTGACTCAAAAGTAAAATTGTAGACCCCTAATTAAAAGTATTTTTTATAAGGTCTAAAGGTGTTTCTTGGTGAAACCAAGAAAACACTCACTCTAAACGTTATACGTAGGTAATACGCATATTATTAAAGCTGGGTTTTCCTAGGCGCGGAAGCGGAGAGCGGAGAGAGGAACGCGTAGAGCGGAATTGAAATTAACATGACATTCCGCTCCGCTTCTAGGAAAACAGAAACATTAAATTGCCTAAGACAAGTGGAGTCCGCTCTCCGCGTTCCTCTCTCCGCTCGCCGATTCCGCGCCTAGGAGAACCCGGCTTAAGAAATTGTCAATGTGGAGACAAACAGAAAGAGGGTAGGCAAATTAATAACAACGTACAATTTGAATCAAACAGTAATATTTGAATTACCTTAATCAACCCTTTTATTTCAAAGTCTTGAGACATTGAGATTGAAAATGTTTCCAACAGTTTAATTAATTTCGTCACATTAAGAGAATATTGATTTCACACGCAAATTACAACATTTCACAATGTACATATATTTTATACACAAAATAACCTGAATTAATTTGATCGTCAACTCACAAGACACAACGCTTCACTGACTGTTCAGAAGGCAGTATTGTTATATCAGATGATCAGCTGTCAATCAGCTGTTATTCAGCTCGAATCGTCAACAATTGATTTATTGGCAAAATAAATAAGTGCCGTTAACCCATTGAACTAAATAACAATTATGTTTGTTGGAAATTAAATTGACCTGTCATCCAGTTTAACTTAGGACTATTCTACTGTTTTGAAATGTGTTTCCATAACCACGACAATTAAAAATAATTTACTACTTAGTTTCATTGAGTTAAATATCGACTATTCCCAAAATAATTTATAGCCTATGAAACTACTGTGAAACTAACATTGATGCAGAATGCTCCACAAGAAAAGTGTATAGGTGGATGATTTCAAAGTTAGGAGTATACAATATCTGAGCTCAAAGTACCAATGGATGAATTGTGGAGTCATGGAAAATAAAGAAAGTAATGTTTATGGTAGAGAAAATGGAATAGAATGAGCAAGGTTAATGATAAATAGTTCGAAGGGCCAGAAATATAAAATACAGAGAAATGGAGATATTGAAATTGAGAGAATGTATGAAAGGGGAAAATGAACACACTTTAAAGATTACAAGGGAGCAGGACACTGTTTTTATTTACATTTCGAAATAACTAAAATGTGTTACCAATGTAATAATTAAATATAATTGTAACACATGTTACTGGGAAAAGGATCAGTTAGTTGTAAGTAAAACAAAGAGTATTAAATGAATATTCAAACTTTACTGAACATTCTGTTTACTTTACAGACAGTTTGCCAGCTATTCGTGTACCCAAAATTATTCAATTGCAATACAAAGTATCACGGTTTAGTGAGTGCATATAACACATATAAATCTTGACATCTTGAACAGTTCACAGCGAATATTCTAAAATACAATATGACGTGTTTCTCTATATTGTCTTCCTTGTTGGAAATCATTCGTGACATTTCTTGCTTACTTTTGTAAATTTACATTATACAAATTGTTAAAGGTCCTATCGCATATGATTTTACTAATGAAATATAAAATAATTATTTAAACGATCAAATTTAGTATTATGTTTAGTATAAAAATTCAACCGTGTTTTTTTAAAATAACATTAAGTGTGGCTTTGTCATTTAGTTTATTTGTAATACATTTTAATATATAATATTATTATTGGTAAAAAGTGGAATTTTCTGGTGCGTGATCAAGATTCGTGGTTGAGGCAAAACCCAACACATGAATACTAAATTTCACATGTATTTAAAGAAGTATATGTGGGTATATAAATTTCACAAACTGCTCAAGCCGAGCAATGAGCGTGTAATTTTGGTAATCAAGCAATTAATGTAAAAGGAGTAAAATTAATAAAATGTAATTATGTAATTAATGTAATTATGTAAAATTAATTTGGTAAGAGTTATTTCAACATACGAGGTAAAGCCAAAGATTAGAATAATATTGGAGCAAGTGCCAACAAATCACTTCCGGTACAATAATTTTCATAACGACGTAAAAATACCCACGTACAGAATAACTGACACTGGTAAAATTAAAGCCGTAACATTGCCCAATTGACGTTATCTTATATTATATATAAATAAAATGCAAGTTAACTTACTACGTTGTGACATTTTATTATACAATTACTTAGCTTATATCATGTATAATTGCTTCTGAGTCGGCTACCAACCAGTTTGCTCATTAAGGCTTTACTAAGACTATAAATAAACTTACACCGAAACTAAGAAAATAAATGTTTTTAAAAAATATTCCTGTTATGTTTGGTACCATGCGTTTAAAATTGAAACAAAATTGTATAGATCGTGTCAATTAGGATGGCGTGTGTGGGTTGGATGATGGAAAGGTTCCCAACAACATTGAGAATCACACTATACACAAGTGCACATTTATTTATTTACATTATTACATTATTTACATTATTTACATTTATTAGTGTACAGTAATTAATTGATGAAATGGCTGTGCAAAATAACAAAAGTGGCGGTGAAAGAAGTGATATTTCGCACATACGCAGCCCACTGGCCACTGTAATTGACACGATCTACATTGTGCTAGTTTTGGTCCACCCTGGGGGTCCATTCCCAGTACCCGCCATGTCTGACGAGCCTTCCCCTATCCGCCACCTGGGGAGGCGCCCGATAGGAGACTAGCAACTCCACACGGGAAAAATGTGGTGGAGGTGGGCGGAATCATTTCTACAATCTAAACCATTTAACAAAAGCGTATAAAATAAACAAAGCCACAAAGCACGATACCCGCTGTGAAAGGTGTTACTAGATATTAAACATAGGACTGTCCGAAGACTTCCAAACGATTTAGGGATACTACATAACTTTCACTCTTCCAATAGATCAGAGTGATTTATATTTACAAAAAAAACACATGCAGGGTATAATATTTCTGCTGCGACCTAAAAGATATTCTAGTGCTACTCCCAAAGATAAAAAATGACTCCGGAAATATACATTTTGTGCTGTTATAATAAAATAAGAACCTTGTATTGAGAAAAATTACAGAACAATTATCGTTAATGAATGTTAACATAAGTGGAAAACGTAATAGATTATCCCCTACCCACCTGATACAGTACTTCTGTTGATTCCGGCCACCTCTACAACTAAACCTAACTTGACTAACCTATACTGCCTATGAAGGTGTAGCCATAGAGATTAGTTATACCTAATAACTATAAGGGTATTCTCAAGAAGAAAGAGTGATCAAAATAATGTATATCCTCAAAAATGCATTACTCCTTAATGCAAAATTTAAACGAATGCAATTAGTTTAATCTCTATAGGCACACCTGTCTATAATATATAGTTGACTACAATATATTGAAGGCCCAGTTTTAAAATATTAACATGTAGGCTACCTTAGTACGTTAGTAAACTCAGTAAATATCCTAACAAACTAAAAGTAAACCATTAAAAAAATACTGAGCCTTTCAAAGATTTCATAGTAAATTGATAATACTAAAATTAATAGAATAATTATTACTAAGGCCAAGATACCAGCCTTTACAAATGAAAATTAGTGTATCTACAAAACCAGACAAAAAAAAAACAGTGTAATTATTTAAACTAAACCAACCTTTTTTTGTAACGCTGCAGAAGACACAGTAGTTTACTTAGTTTAAAATCAAATAAACTTTACAGCTCTGAACTCTTTTCACACTATTCACGGTTCTAAAGTTAACAAAAATATAAAATTGCTATATCTGCAGAACATATATTAATTTAAATTTTATTTAAAGTCACTCTTTGACCATTACCAAGTACTAAGAAATTTCATAGTAAAGCCAATTCATAGAATTTATGTTGGCAGATATATTTCCTTGTATCCAGGCTAAACTAAAACACACAACTCTAAGATAAAAAAAATTGAGTGCTTCCTACCTTTGGTTGGCTTCAGCTGAAACTTTACCAATACGATGTGAACAAAGGCATTTATATGAATTTCGCATTGATTTCTTTCTAATAGTTATTTGAGATACCTTGAGATCTTTACATCTAGCCCAGTCAATGAATGCAATAAAACACCCTTTTTCGCAACTAAATGGTGGAAAGCTGGATTTTGTATATGTGATAGAACCACATGAGAGGTGTATTTTCCCAAAAGTCCCCACTTCTACCCCTTGAGCTTTTCCCCCCACCCCCCTCCAAACATAGAAATTGCAGTGTTTTACTTAATGGGTCATAAGTCGAATGCTATGTAAGCTATCGAGCTGCAATTTGTTTTGTTTTATTTCTGATTAGTTTTCCTACAACCTTTGTATTTACAACATTTTTCTAAAACCAATACTTAGGGAGATATAAAATTTAAACTTCGTTGAAAGCTTTGTTTCAGAGTGCAAAATTTTGTTTTTCTCCATGTATACTTTTAATTAGAAATAATACGCAAATATGATTCAAACAAAAGTTTTAGTACGTTTTTCAAGGTTTACAAATATATTACTGGTTAGTCATCTAGGTGACCTGGTGAAGAGCTGGGCGTCGGCAAAGAGAGCGCGTGCGGGCTAGTTGAACACTTCTGCGCTGCGTCATCGCATCTAGCCCAGCCAATAAACGCACAAACTGCCTTTTTTCGTAGCTAAATGGTGGAAAGCTGAGTTTGTTATATGTAATGGAACCACTTAAGACGTGTTTTTTTCAAAACGTTCCCGATTATCCTCCTTGAGCTTTTCCCCGCAACCCCTTCCAAGCCTGGAAATTACAGTCGTTCACTTTACTGGATATAATTCAAATTCTACGCATGCCATCGTAGTAAAATTTAATTTGTATTATTTGTAATTAGTTTATCTTCAACTTTTGTACTAAAGGCTTTCTTATAAAACTTTATCCAAAGAGATATAGCATTTTAACTTTTTTTGATAATTTTTATGTTGTAGAGTACACAATTTTGTTTTACCCTCTATATATTTTTTTCCAAATAAAATGCGCAAAATGTTTCAAACAAAATTTTTTGTATTTTTTTACGGTTTATAAATATATATTTGGTTAGTCGTCTGAACGAACTGATGTATATACACTATAGTGTGGTGCGTCGGCAAAGAGAGCGCGTGCAGGCTTCTTCAAAGCATCTGCGCAGCCTAGCCCCACCCGTCGATGCGTCGCGTCCTAACCGACATAGCTAAGTTCTCAAAGGTTGTATACAAATGCTAAGGCGTTGTATTTTGTATTTTACTACCAAAACAATCTGTATCCAAGCTTAACCGTGAACTGCAAAAACAATTATTATTTAGATGGAACCCAATAATCTCTACCTACTTAATTGTTATACTTGCAGTATACTTGTAATACTTGATTTCTTCATCTTTGACCAACGGAAGCTTGATAGATTGAGGTATAGAACACTAGGCCTAATAAACACTTTAAAAATCACTTTAAACATACTCTTTGCTCTTCCTTACGTTACAATGCGCTTTCCATTATCTACCACCAATGGGACTCGCTTTGTTCCGCAAGATTTATACTAACTGCGCCTCGCGGTCAGTAAAGATCTAAACAGTAAACTGCAAAAAAACAATAATTATATTAAACCTAATCATTTGTACATTTCTTAAATTTATTGTTAGTCTTAACTCGTTTCTCATTTGAAATAATAATTTATTTAATTATTTCTGTCAACGGCTACACCTATTGACAATAATATACATGGATACATACAGTATATTACATTACATAAAGCTGGGTAAGAAACATACTGAACCCAATGATGAGATGGCCCAATTCGCCTATGGGTCTGAGGATGATTGCAGTGTCGAATCGAAATCTACCACCACTTACCATCTTTTATGTATATTTACAGTATTGTGAGTAATATTATAAGTGTAAATTTATGTTTTAAGTGTTAGGCTATTCGAGGTATTTTCTTTTATATACTTTCCAATTAATTAATGTAATAAGGCATATATCCAAAAGTTATAAATAAGTAAGTAAAAAACTGTATTTGTGTCCCCATACATGCAGGCAAGACTATTTACGGGATACAACACCCGTAATTGGTAATTGGTTGTAATTGGTTTATGTATTTTATTTTAGGTTGTTATACAGGCAAATTATTCAAATTTCCTTTCTTAACATATTGTGAAGAGGTGTCAATCAAATTGGGGTTATTTTCATAATCTCGGTGACGTTCTGTTCTCTAATATTTGATTGTTTTCATGTTATCTTAAAAATGAGTCAGCATAATAGATCTTTATTGGTTAGTGGTAGACATTATGCAAACGTTTAACATCGCTAATTAAGATGAAGGCGCTTATTAAGTATTTTAAAATCTCCTCTATATAGACTTAATAACAAAGTTAGTTTTAACATTGACTGGTTTTAATTTGTATTCATTACCATGATTAAAAATTGCTTATAAACATTACCGACAGTTTTCTACGTTGTTCGTGATATTATTTTAACACAGGCTTACAACTCATGGCAGAGCAGAAAGCTAACCCTTGCTAGCGGGAAGCGTGAAGAGAGGGACATATCAATGATAGGACGCAGTTTGTATCAAGGAGTGGGTCGACGAAAACTTTTTACTGACAGCGAGATGCTTCATTTAGTCACGGTTTAGCTTGGAAACAGATTGTTTTGGTAGTAAATTAGGCTACAAATTAGGAAGTCATAGGATTTGTATGAAACAGTTGAGAACTTAGCGGTGCCGGTCCTTATGCATCGACGGGCGGGGCTGCATGCGCGGATGCTTAAGAAGCCTGCCCGCACTGTCTTTGCCGACGCCAACACTACATCAGTTATTTCAGATGACTAACCAAATACATATATTTATAAACCTTAAGGAACATACTACAATTTTGTTTCTGACACATTATGCGTATTTTATTTTGAAAAAATATATAGAGGGTAAAACAAAATTGTGTACTCTAAAACATAAACATTATCAAAAAAAGTTAAAATGCTATATCTCTTTGGATATAGTTTTATAAGAAAGTCTTAAGTACAAAATTTGAAGATAAACTAATTACAAATAATACAAATCAAATTTCACTACGATGGCATGCGTAGGATTTGAATTATATCCAGTAAAGTGAACGACTGTAATTTCCAGGTTTGGAAGGGGTTGCAGGGAAAAGCTCAAGGGGAAAAATCAGGAACTTTTTGAAAAAAAACACGTCTTAAGTGGTTCCATTACATATAACAAACTCAGCTTTCCACTATTTAGCTACGGAAAAAGGCAGTTTGTGCGTTTATTGGCTGGGCTAGATGCGATGACGCAGCGCAGAAGTGTTCAACTAGCCCGCACGCGCTCTCTTTGCCGACGCCCAGCTCTTCACCCGGTCACCTAGATGACTAACCGGTAATATATTTGTAAACCTTGAAAAACGTACTAAAACTTTTGTTCAAACCATATTTGCGTATTATTTCTAATTAAAAGTATACATGGAGAAAAACAAAATTTTGCACTCTGAAACAAAGCTTTTAACGAAGTTTAAATTTTATATCTCCCTAAGTATTGGTTTTAGAAAAATGTTGTAAATACAAAGGTTGTAGGAAAACTAATCAGAAATAAAACAAAACAAATTGCAGCTCGATAGCTTACATAGCATTCGACTTATGACCCATTAAGTAAAACACTGCAATTTCTATGTTTGGAGGGGGGTGGGGGGGAAAGCTCAAGGGGTAGAAGTGAGGACTTTTGG